AGGACGACGTGGGTTCCGCTGTGGCGGTGTCGCTTCGCCTCCAAGCTGCTCGTGCGGTCGATGCGCGAGTCGCTCACATTGGTTGAGTTCGCGCTCGAGCCGCGGCGCAGCCAGGAGAGACCGCGCTTCTCCACCGAGCTGCGGTGAATGACGCTGCGCGGTTTGCGGCCGTGCTTCAGCCGCTCGGCGTTGAACTTCATGACGGAGAAGCGAAAGACGCACGCATATTCGTCCTTGGAGAGCGACTGGTGGTGCTTGCAGTGCCCGTGGTAGTAGACGCTTAAGAGAATCACAAACAGCATCAGCGAGATGGCCGCGATGCCGTCGTCGCCTTGGAAGCCGCCGACGATCGAGATGGCAATCATGCCAAATACGATGCCTGCAAACACAACGCCGCCGAGCCCGAACGGACTCACAAACCCATTCGACTCGGTGTGGTACCGAGTCCGCAGCATGACAAAGCCGAGGAGCTGCGCACCGTAGCAAAAGGTGCCGGCCAAAATGAAAATATTTTGCGTTGACGATTCGAACGCCAGAGCAAAGTACCCGAGGAGACAGAGGAGGTACCCAAAGAAGGACGCAAATACCATTGGTTTCGCGAGCGACTTGGTGTGCTTCAAGCCGAGTATGGGCGGCAGCAAATTCGAGTTGGCCAGCGCCTGCGTGAGGCGCGTGTACGGGAGGATGAACCCGGCCGCCATGCCGACTTGGGCTGGTAGAATCAGCCATTGCCCCGCCGCGTCCGAGATACCGAAATGCGCCATCGCTGTGTTGAGCGGAAACGTGTCGCTTGTACAGGCAACGATACCTGGCGGTTGCGCCGGCACAATCAACAAGAGCGCAATATTGGTGACAAAGAGTGTAGCTGTTGCGGCAAGGATACCCCGCGGTAGTGTCGTCTTGGGTGTCGACGCCATGCTCGTCACGAGCGTCAATGACTCGATGCCGGCAAACGCCCACGTCGTGTACGGCAGCCACGCAAAGTACGCCGAGTGGAGATCGCCCATGGCCCAAACCTTGTCCCCGGTCCCGTTGAACTGAGACACGCGGTCGGCGGCAAAGGCGCCATAAAAGCCGAGGTCCGCGGACGCCACGCCACCAAGAATCGCCAGCAGCGCCGGCAAGAGGCAGAGAACTGCGAGGAGCACGAGGCCGCGCCAGTAGTACCACCCGGGAAGGAGAAAGAACCCAATCATGCCGGCGTAGACAGCCGCCATGACCGCTGGCGCAGACTCGGGTGGCGCGTCAACCGCATCCACGACAAAGTTGCTCACATAACTGACCGAGACAGACGATGCGGCAATGTACTCGAGGAGCTCGAGGTACCCGACAAGAAACCCTGCGTAGTAGCCAATCGTAATGCGCGCGAGGCCGTACGAGCCGCCGGAGAAGGCGATTTTGCCCGCGACCTCGGCGGCCGACGACATGTACACGACGTACGCGGCGTCCGTGAGGACTTGGGAAAGGAAAAACGGAAGAAAACCCGTCGTGAGTGCGACGTTCCAGCCGTAGAGCTGACCGCCCATGACGACGACCATGCCAAGCGCCCAAATATGGAGGGTCGACGCCGCGTTGATCGGGTCAGTGTCTACCTCGGCCAACTCGTCGACTTTAAACGTTTTGGCGGCGCTCGACGACCGCCGGGATGGCCCCGGTGACGCCGACGACGAGCCAACGGGGATCACGTAGCGTGAGCTGCGGCGCGAACTTGGCATGTCAGCTCGGTATTTCGTTGACAAAGCTATTCCAGTCGGAGGGATAGCAGGTGCGTTGAAACAGGCGCGGTTTCAGTCACGTCAGGGACCATTCTCCTGATCACTTTGTGCAATCGAGGCTATCGTGCGTTGTCGACAACCGGTAGTAGTGAGTACGTCAGCGGCGCTGCACAGCGAGAGACGCTGTGCAGCGCGCACGCGCACACGAGGTGTATTCAAAGGAACGTTAAATAGAGGCGGCAGTGGTTTAGCGGCAGCCGTGCCAAATGACCTTGGACGTGGCGGCCTTGGCCTTGGAGACATGGCGCGGGTGCGTATTCCGGAGCGCGATCGTAATGAGGACCGCCGACGTGACGAGCACGGGCGACACGACAGAGCTGACGACGGACTGGAGAACCATTTTGGTGGTGTTGGTGAGGAGGCTTCGAGTTGGGGAATGGCCACAGAGACAGCGACCGCCACCGCCGCCGCGCTGCATGGTCTGGCGCCGCCTGCCAGGATTGGTCGGTTTGCGCATCCAATCGACCAATTGCTAGCAGCCTCTTTACATGTCGCAGTCGCGATCCCAAGCTTCCAACTATCGGCAATGTACAGGATATTCAAATGTAAAGGTTTTATGGGGCTGCCAGCATTGAAGATGAGATGCATAGATACAATATATGCATTGTAGCAGGTTTATGCCACATCGCTCCGAGCCGTGACCAACCGGCACGGTCGCTGCGCATTGAGGCGCGGATTGAAGTGGCCCCGAGACGCGCCGCGCAGACATGGGCCAGTGGCAGCGAATTTATGCACCTCAGCGAGCCAAGCATCGAGTTGGCAGCATATTTTGCTGGCGACTCATTGCTGGACCTCACGACAGTGGTGATCGCGAGCAGCCTCGTCGCGTGCTGCATCAACCTGCACTGTCATGGCCATCAATTGCGCTACCACAGCCGTGCTTACGAACAATAATCGTAAAAGCAGCGTAGAATTCTGGCTGCTGTCTCGAGCAGCTGCCGACGCGTCGAAGCGAACGAGCCTGGTCGAGTTGGCGAGCTCTGATCTGGTCTTGTGTGTCGTGGCAGCATTGTGGACGTGTTCCATGAATCTGTCGATGCCATTGGTCAGAATACCGATGCTTTTGGATTGGTCGAAAAACGAAGATTCGCGCTTTTTCATTGGCGTAGCTTATTGCAGATAGCAAGATCGCGACCTTTGCCAACAGTGGATAGCAGGTCGGTGCGGATGGAGCTAGCGTACCAGTACACCAAGCCACGCCGGACGTTTGGCCGGCACTGCGACTTTAAACATGTAGAGGCCAAGGTGCTCGAGGCGATCCCGGCCACCGACTCGTTCGACCACGACTACGTCAAGCGCCGGCCGATGGTCGGCCGCCTCGACACGACGCCCGACATGTCCGAGCACGAAGTCAACACGGAGCGCCTCATTACAAAGAACAGCTCGATGCGCCACGTCGAGGGCGGGTGGCCCAAAGATGTTGACTCGGCCGAGCAAAACGACGTCCAGCGCTTCCGAAAGAAGGTCGAAAAGGACGACGAGTACAAGCAAGCCGTCAAGTTCCTCGGTCCGGTTGCCGAGCGCGGGCTCAAGCAGAACAATACGATCAACATCTATCAAGACTACTTTGCGCACATGGGCGAGCCGGCGACGACAGAGCAGCCCAGCGCAAAGGGCCTCGCCGTCTTCCGGGACCCCGAGAGTGTTCGCCGCACCGTGTCCAAGATCGACTGGCACCCCGAGTCACCCCAGCGCATGGCCGCGTGCTACTGCATTCTCAACTTTCAAGACCCCAAGTTTGTGAACGCGCGCATGCCGGCCAACAGCTACATCTGGGACGTCCTCAACCCCAACACGCCGGAAGTCGTGCTCAAGCCGCTGAGCCCGCTCTGCTGTCTCCGCTACAACCCCAAGAGCGTCGACCAGCTCGTTGGCGGTTCGTACAACGGTCTTATCTCGTTCTTTGACATTCGCAAGTCCGGGTCGTCGCCCGTCGAGACGTCCATGATCGAGCACTCGCACCACGACCCTGTGTACGACGTGTTTTGGATCTCATCGAAGACTGGCAACCAATGCGTGTCCGTCTCGACGGACGGCTCGATGCTGTGGTGGGACATTCGCCATCTCGCGCAGCCCACGCACCGCATCATGCTTTCCGATAAGGACGGCCAAGTGCTCGGTGGCTCGTCCATGGAGTACAACACGGAGGCGGGCCCGACCAAGTACCTCGTCGGGACCGAGCAAGGCATCGTGCTCTCGGTGAATTTGCGCAACATCAAGCAAAACAACGGGATCACCGTGTACGACACGGGCGCCGGCAAGCACCACGGCCCGATCTACACCATCCAGCGCAACCCCACGCACAACAAGTTCTTTTTAACAATTGGGGATTGGACTGCGCGCGTGTGGTGCGAAGACCTCAAGACGCCCATCATGAGCACAACGTACCACGACTCGTATGTGACCGCCGGGTGCTGGTCGCCGACGCGCGCCGGCGTCTTCTTCGTGACGCGCATGGACGGCGTCGTCGACGTGTGGGATTTCTTTTACCGGCAAAACGTCGCGGCCTACTCGCACAAGGTCGGCGACGTGCCGCTCTCATCGATTGCAGTGCAGGTACCGTATGTATCAAGTTGATACTGAAAGACGAGATGGTCGGACTAGGGCAATGCGCAGTCGGGCGGGAAGCTCGTGGCCGTTGGCGACTCGAACGGCATGATTTCGCTCTTGGAAGTGTCGGACGGCCTCGCCAGTCCCCAGAGCAACGAGAAGGCCGCGATCAACGGCATGTTTGAGCGCGAGACGAAGCGGGAAAAGAACTTGGAGGCGCGCGAGAAGGAGCAGAAGCGCAAGAAGGCGACGATGGACGACGGCAAGGTCGAGGAGCTGCCGTCGACCAAAGATGAAAAGATGGAGAAGCTCTTGCGAAGCGTCGACGCCAACTTCCTCAACATGATCAAGGAGGCCGAGGACACGGAGAATAAAAACATGGAACACAAGTCGGACAACATCAAGCCTGGCGACGAAGACAATTAGCGCACTACGTTTTTAACGAGTACTATGTAAATGAATCGATGCATATATTGACAGTCGCGTGCACAGTATTCGCCTTCGGTCCCTGCCACCTCCAGTGCCCATGGACCAAGCCCTTCCAATGGCTTCCCAACGGGTCAGATCTGTGCCAGCGATCGTCGGCGGTTTCCGTGCAGCTGCACATGTGCTTCGGTTCCAAATTTGCGTTGGCTGCTCAAGAAGCCTGGGGTGCGAGATCTGGGTGCCTTGGGTTTTGGTACACTAAACTCAATGGGCGCAAGCAGCTTTCGATATTTCTCAACGGAGCAAAGAAGCGAAGACGGCAAGCACGACCCGTGGAATGTAGCACCTTGGTCGATCGACCGTGTTCGCTTGCCGACCCTGATACGGTCGTGAACCAGAGAAGCACGCGGTTGTGGGAATTGTACAAGTTGTAGTAATCCTCAAAATCACGCAGTGTAGGTCGTCGCTCGACCCGCGAAGAGTCGACGTCCTCAATGAAGCGCAACAGAAACACGCATCACTCCCTCAACACGAGCTGGCACGGCTCGGAATTTTGGCCTTGTCTTCAAGCCCCTCGAGAGCGTGTGGCGCCACGTCATCGACTTCGTTTTTGTATGCGGCTGCGTTTCTCGTTTTTGTATGCGGCTGCGTTTCTCGCTGCGTGGCAGAGAAACGAGTTGTTGTGATATGCGTCCACTTGCTCGCGGTCGATGGATCGTCCGCGCGTACTAGAGTACAGTGTACTGCCTTGGTGGCGGCGTTTATATCAGCCGCCGGCACTTCAACGACGAGCGCGGACGTGGGACGCGATGCGCACGTTGCTGGACATATTAGCTTGCAGCATCCACGGATCGAGGTGGGTGGTTCTGGCTGCCCTGATTGCCAGGGTTGCGGTACCCTATATTTGAGCATGTATTAATTTGCAAAGAAGAATGGCACAAAGAACGACCATGACAATCGCCCTCAATCCGCATGGCGCTCGATCCATCCACCACCACAATCATCATCGTCACTGCCTCCGACCGCCGCAATCGTTTCGGTAATCTTTGGACGACACCGCCTCTTCCGTGGCGGCATTTTAACCCGTTCAGAGGTGCAGATTTTCTAAAATACAATGGCAGGAATAATAAAATTATAGTGTGCATGCGACCCGGTTCGCGTAATCCCATCGCTGATCGCAGCCGTGCAGAGACGTTGACGTTGCGGACTTGGGAGTGTGCAGCTTCGCTCGCGCACTCCTGATCGACTATCATCATCGGAGGTTGATCGTCTCGTCGACACGCGTCGCCTTCCTTGCTCATCATCGTCGGCCCAGGGAGAAATTATAGTACGAATTAGCACCGTAATTCGTATCGACCGACACATATTATTACTATTAATATTCCCAATAATATGCGAGCCAGCTTCTCGCCTGCGATGCAAACGGATTTCGTCACCGCAGCCATTTCTCACGTGGGTTTCCCACATGCTGCCCGGTTTCTACCCAGGGCCGAACGTTCCGCGCGTGGGTTTTACACGCATTTCCCACGTCGGCGTCGTAACAGCCCGTGCGCCGGACGACCCGCGATGGACGACGACCGACGTCGCACAGCGGGCGTCGTAGGAACAGGAACAGGTAGCGTCGTAGGTCAGAAGATGTCGCTGTGTTAAATAAGGGTGCGGGGCTATGGTACGGGCGCGACTCGGCTGCGCGTAATAAGATAGTAGTCGCTTACGACTGGCACGCGAGGAGGCCGGTGCGGAAGGCCTTCTCAACGATGCGGCGCTGGCGGTTGCGGAGCGACTTGCGCGAGCTGTCAAGGATCGACTTGTGCTTGACGAGCATGCGCATCGTGGCCTTTCTGCACTCGTAGACCTTGGACATTTGGATGAGAAGGAGCTCTTCTTCCTTCTTCTCTGAGAGGAGCGCCTGGGCCTCGGTGTGGCCCACAAAGGCAGCGTCGTCCATCGGTGCGTCTTCCGGGAGCTCGCTCTTGATGTCGGCGAGCTGCTCCTCGATCTCGTCGATGCGCTCGAGACACTCGTCGACATCGCGCTTGCACGTGAGCAGCTTCTTGCTCTCCTCGACCATCTTGGTGTGGCAAAAGTTGCTCTTCTTCTGCAGGAGCGCGTCGTAGAGGATGCTCACGGTGGCGGCCTGCTCGATCTCGATTGTCATCGGCGTGGGAAATACAAAACTGACCAACGTCCCGGTAATTCGTCCGAGCTCCAATATTATCGCGCAATAATATTAATATTTCGAATGCGGTCGCGCTCTCGAACTCGGGAGCGATCGGGCAATATTTGCCAAATAAAAATATAGAAATTATATTCGCGCGCCGGTCGTTTGTGTTTAAATACAGGAGGGCCACGTGGTTTTTTATTGCTTTGAATTACAGGCTTTTTAAAATATTATTCCGTTCCTAGTGCTGCAAGAGATACGAATCCAATGCGATTACATGCGGGTGTGACATAAGGTGCCAGTGTGCCCACCAACCATTAAGTATACAAGAGTCAAGATGGTTTTGGCGCCCGTCCCGACCGAGAGCCGGCCGCTAGCTTCTTCGAAGTGCAACCCCCAGCGACGTGTGTTTCATTTCTATTTGCGGCGGCCAATATCTCGCAACTGCACTGAACGCTTGTATGCCAAGCCCAGCTTCAACGAAGAAAAACGAGCGATATATATAATATTCTGGACGGGGACGCAGGCTATAATATTATTATTATGCTGATGGCGTTCCAGTATGGGCCGACCAATATTTCCGAACGACGATGGGCGCGGTTTCGACACTGGCGCCGGGTCGTGGCGAATGAGGCCAGCGCGGGAAGACTTCCATCCTCGCTCGCTCGGCCACGCACGCGAAAGTGATTTGCATCCGTCGACACACACGTCCGGCCCTTGGCAACCAGAAGAAGGCAGTCGGAACGTAATGGGCGATCACGGCTCGTGCAATATATATATATTGGCAGCAATCGAATATCGGCGCGCCTTGGGCCAATATCTATCCATCGAGACACGAGGTGGCCCGTCATGACGTCGTCTCGATGCGATATGTCTTCTTGGTTTTCTTGCAACGAGACTTGGTTTACAGTACACTCAACAACACGGTTCGTCGCGCCTCGCGATCTTTGGTATGCGAAAGGCAACGCGTCTCGGCTTCTCCATTCCGCGGTCAAAGTCCACGGGCAAGCCGCGCTATAAAGAATATTGAACGGTCGCAGCAGTATCGATATGTTATCGTCCACTCTTGGCTGGAGTGTGTGGTATCGTGGAAGATATACGAATCCAAACCTACAGTGTAGAGCATGACTCGCCGAGTGATATTTTAAGAAAAGCGCTCCGACTCGTGAGTCGCCGAGTGCCATCTCTCTATTCTGTATAATTATATAAACAGGGCCGAACGATGAGCGCCCCGAAAAATGACATCATCAGGTCAAGTTAAGTTTGCAGCGCATCCCGATCGCGACAGCCCATGTGGGCCTTCGCGACATCGACAGCTTACATGCGGAGCAAGCCCGCGGTTGCACTAGTACCCAGACAACGGACTCTGGGCGGCATCTTTCGCTTCTACTTCGACGGGCACCAGACTCGCTCGCAGTTGCGTCGTGCAAGGCCCTTCCCAAAGCGTGCGACGAGTGCAATGACATCTGTCGCACGATGGACGTTACCGTCGCGAGTCGAGCGCTTGCCATACAAATGTATGTGCTCAATAGACGCGGAACGCTCGCAGCTTGCCACGTGGATGCCGACGTCACGTCTCGAGCAGCACCCGAATCGCGCCAAAGAAAACCGACCACGTCGCCGAAGACCAAGCTTGCGATGCTATTTCACGCGTCCAGCCATGTGCTGTTGGTAATTCGACAAGGTGAGAACTCGCTGCACACAACGTGTGCGCGCACAACATTTACTACATCTGACCTGCCCAGCTGGCGTGAACACAATCATAGTGGTCAGACCTGCAGATGCCGATAACGTGCAAACCTCGCGATACAGTGTATTCGTTGGAACACGGGCAGCGCGATCAGCCGCCTCGCGCCTCTTGCGGGCGGCTGTTCGCTGCCAAATGCTGGCATAGTCGAGTACCCCGTCGAGCGCTTTTACATCACGTCCCTGGTCGTGGTGCGTCGGACTTCTTGTTGTGGCTTTCGAAGCGCGCATCGTCCGCACTCGAATGTTCTCGATCCTCTATTGCTCGCTTCTGTCGATGGAATAGGGATTTGATCCCAGCAATGGCATTGTTTATCGCGAAAAGAACTAGCATTGGCCGGCGGTCATAACGTGAGTAATTGGCGGGAATGATGAAGGTGGCACGTCGTGCTGTTGATATGCGTGCAGTTGTGCGTGGACCGATCACCTTGCCGATCACCCGATTCAATATTAGCACACATTGCACCAAGAGTGCCAATATATATTACGCAATGGCGCCAATATGGCGCCAAGTCGACGCCGTTCAGTCCAGCTTGCCATCGCGGCCGTTGGGCTTGCCGAGCACTTGGCTGACGACAAAGTACGTAAAGTCGAGGTTGCCCCAGTACGACGTGTGCGCCTTCGCCGCGCCCACCATGCTGAGCGACGCATCCATCGTCGAGGCCTACAAAATGCTTATTCGGCATCGAGATATCCATATCGAAAATGCTTACCGGCAAGACAAAGTCGAGGCGCTGGAACTTGGGGTTCATGCGCGCGACGACGCGCTCCGTGAGAGTCGCCGTGTCCGCTACAATATAACTTAGCTCGAATGATGTTACCTCAATCATCAACCCATACCTGGGTCGGCGTCGGGCTCGCTCTGGTTGGACGTCACCAACGACGTCTTGGTGCTGCTGTTGTTGGACGACCCAATGCTATCGGCCCAGTCTTGGAGACGCTACGCCAGAAGCATGACGCACCGCGAATCACACGGCCTTATTACCATGTGCAGCGGCTTCTTGCCCCCAGCCGCTTCGACCTGGAACGGCGGCGTGATCGTCGATTGCAGGTCAATGAGTGGCTCAAGACGATACGCCTACGTCAGCATCATCATGCTTCGTGCCCTCAACCCGCGATGAGTGGTTGTGCGGCACTTACAACCGGGTCGAGCGGCTACAAAATCACGGTTAGCAGCGCCGACTAACCGAAAGGAATTAGTGTCGTACGTGGAACACGTTGAACATGTTGGTGACGCCCGGCAGCACCATGGCGTCGCCTTGCATGTTGCCGCGGAGGCCAAGGAAGAAGCCCGTCGGCGCGCCAAACTGAATGTACGTGGTCGGCGTAAACGCGAGCTTTCTACGAGGTACACGCTCATGAATATCGCGTCGGGATACGATCCAGCAGCACGCACAAGGCCGGGTCGTTGAGCGTCTCAGTTTGCATCGAAAGCAACTAGAATATTATATTCTTGGTGAGAGCGCGCGTTGGACACAAATACACAAGTTGTACATCGTATGAGATGACGCCGCCAAGACTGTGAGCCAGCACGGTCACGTCGCCAGTAAAACCCGGGTGCGTCTCCATGTAGCGCCTACGCCGACGTTAGAGACTTCGATGTCCATAGGAGACGGCATACGTGTAGCGAACGTTGAGGTATTTGGTGACGAACCGCAGCACTTGCGTTTGGCGCACCTACGCATCGTGAGTTATAGACAATTGCGATACTATAACACGGTCGTCTTTGTCTAATACCATGTAGACAGGGACGTCGGAGAGAAGTTCGTTGGAGATTTCACGAATGTTGGGAATCGAGTCGAGCGCCATGCGGTCAAACGTCGCGTGGAGGTTGTCGCCCTACGCATTCACAAAATCTAACAATTGAGAATGTCACAAAGCGCGTCTACCATTTCTTCAAACACCGTCGACCAGTCCACGGGAATGAACAAGATCGAGTCGGCGTCGCCCGGCGTCTCCAAGTACTTGGCGATGAGCTCCTCCGAGTTGGCTTGGAGCTCGACCACTTGACCGTAAATGTCGCCCTTGCCGTGCTTGCGCTTGTCGTACCTAGCCACAATCGAATATATATTTGCATGGGACCATGCAAACGTACGTGGCACCAATGCCGTGGACGACAAAGACCAAGTGTTGAATGTTGCGGTGAACCGCAACGTCGGCCCAGCGGTCAAACCCGTGGTGGATCGCGTTGCAGTGGCGGTGCTTCTGGCGCGGTGTGCACTGCGAGAATGACTTGTTGAGCAAATCATGCACGTCGTCAACTGGCTTGGCCGAGCTCAGCACCGTCGATCGGCCCGTAATGTGGTCCTGGATCGTCTCGCAGAAATGGTGTTCGCCCTAAGTGTCCCATTGAAAACGTTGGAGTATCCCATGGGTCGCGGTACCTCGGGCGATAGCGCCGACCACAGCGCCGAGATCGCATTCGCCTCGGGCTCGGGAATCGGCAAGAACTTGCCCTTGCGCGTCTCAAAGAGCCAATTGCTACGATGATGGCATAAGAAACCGATTCAGATCGCGGCGACGTGGCACCAGCGCATGACGGGCACCGCATCATCTTCCCAGTAGAGCTGCGTCATGACGCGGTTCTTGACGTCGACTTGGAAGTGGCCGTCGTTGACGACAACGGGGTTGCCGTCCATGGCATGCTCGAGCTTGTCTACGCAGGATCATGCTATGATGCTATGCTACGGCGGATGGGAGGATGAGGTGTATGTACCGCAGTCTTCCTTGGGAAAGATGGTCCACTCGCCGTCCGGCGACATGTACGCCCATGGCACGACCGGTGCGCTCGTCGTCTCCGTCATCTTGCACCTGCCGGTGTTCTTGGCTTCTGGGACCTTGCGCTGCAGCCACGGCATCGCGCACTATTTATTTTGATTTTTCAAATTGTACCTTTTGTCTCTATGCGACGTCTTTTTATTTGGATGACGAAGACGCTAAGACCGTCATCACGCACCTAACGAAACCATTCGTCAACGTAATCGGCTGCGACGCAGGTACAACGTGAGAAGCTACGGGGCAGAAGCTACTAGGACTAGAACGGCCCGTGCGACGCGGCCAAGGGCGCGGTGCCATCACCGGCGCCTCGAGACGATCCCAGCCATCCATTTTGCGAAGCCGTTTCGTAACTGTCAGTCTGCCGAGTGTCCATCTTGGACATGTTATTGATCCACCGACGCTTCACCCTCATGCCTCTACCGATAGATCATGGCAGCCGCGACTGTATTCATCGAGATGCTCGGCGCTGAGGCTACTCCTGGTCCTCGCACATGCTCACGTCCTTGCGCAACGCCCGAGACTCCTCTCCAACGAACGTTGGAATCATCAGTATCCCTGCCTAGTACTACATCGCACATCACTGCGCGTGCTGCGCAAATGCCTCTCTTCGTAAGCTTATTCGCACTGGAAGACTGAGACGACTACTGTTGCGAAGCATCGACGGGGTCGCCGAGCAGCTGCGTGAGAAGAAACAGGACAAACTCGGTCGTCGACCAGTACCCCGTGTGGGCCGTGAGCGCGGCAAGCGGCGTCAGCGCTTCAATCTCCGACTCCTACGCAATATCGTCATGACCCATCGACTGTAGGCTCCACATATACAGGCAGAACGTAGTCCAGGCGCAAAGTCTTGGGGTTAAGACGCGCCAAGACGGCCTTTTGCAGCGCGTTGGCGTCGGCCGTTGCGTCGACCGCCGCGCTCGGCTCTACCTCGCCCTGGTTACCTTCCTTCTTCCCCAGGGACACTAAGGTACCGATGGCCGGCGAGGCGTCTTTCGGCAGAAAGGCCTTGAACGTCTGCTCCATCGTCTGCGCAAACTTCTTCTGGCTTGACTCGAACGAGTCGGCCATGTCTTGCACGACCTAATAGCATACGAGCTGAGGCACCGCAACGCCATGGTCGTCGTACGTGGTGGATGCGGCGCCAGCCCGACGCCGTGTTGATGCGCACGGGCGCCGCGATCGCCGCGTCCTTGTGGATGAGCGGCTCCAGGCGGTACGCGACGGGGTCCGCCGGCTACGTCGCGTTCTGAACACTGAAGCAGAAGTCGGTCGTCGTACATGGAAGACGTTGTACATGCGCTCGCACGTCGGGAGCGCGAGGTCCATGCCGTGCACGTTGCCGCGCAGCGTGAGGAAGAGCCCGATCGGCGACCCAAACGCGAAAAAGGCGTGCGGTGAAAACGCCAGCGCGCTACACAAAAATGATCGTGACAGCGAGGCTCGAAGCGGGTGCTAGTTGGTATTGTTGTACAAGTCGGGATCACAGCTCTCGCCTTGCTTGGCGAGCAGCTACGCACCATCGTTGCATACGACAAGAGGAGGAGTGAGGCACGTCATACGTCGTAGGTGATGATGCTGCCAAGCGAGTGACCCATGATGGAGACGTGGCCAGAGAACTCGGGGTGGTTTTGCTTGTAGAGACTACAGAGCACCGGTCAGCGCATGTTTCCGGAACGTGCTCTCGAGTAGTATTTGCGTACGTGTAGCGGGCGTTCATGTACTTGGTGACGAACGAGAGCACACTGGCTTGACGCGCCTACGTCAACAGCGGTTGATACCGTGGAGTAGAATGGACATATCATGTCCATAATACTCGACGAGTACCATGTAGAGGAGGATGTCGGAGAGGAGCTCGTTTGTGAGCTGACGCACAAACGGCATCGAGTCGAGCGCAATGCGATTCAAGAGCGCGTGCACATCGTCTCCCTACGGCATTCAGATGTCAGATTTCAGATTTCAGATGTCAGATTTTAGAATCCAAATGTCAGATTCCAGATTCCAGATTTGAAATGGGCGTACCATATCGCCAAGCACATCCGACCAGTCGACTGGGAGGTACTCGACGCTGCGGTTATCCGAGGCTGGAAAGTGTGAGCTTAGGAGCGACTCGGAGCTCTGGCGCAGCACGAGCGACTGGTCAATGATCGTGCCGTGCGCCAGTCGCTTCTTGCAGTACGTCTCGCCAATGCCATGGACCACGAAGACGAGGTGCTCGACGTGCGAGCGAAGCCGCGGCCACGCGTGGAAGCCGTGGTGCAGCGCCTTGCAGCGAAACTGACCTGTCGGCGAGCACTTGGCGAAGAGCTCGTTGAGCTTGGTGGCAGCGATCGCCTTGGTGCTGCCCGTCTTGGTCGCGACTCCGCCCATGTGGTCGACGACCGACAGGGAAAACGTGTGCGTCTCCTACTCAGCAGAACGATCTAACGCAGGTGGCACGGGGTTCGAAGCGCCTACCGATGTGGGAAGCGTCGCCCACAAGTTGTTGATCTCCATGGCCTCGGCTTCGGGCAGCGGAAGGTACTTGCCGTTCGTCGCCTCAAAAATCCAATCCCTGCAAAATTGCAAGTCGACACGAGCACATGCAGAGGTGACGTACGAGCGCACGACAGGGCACGGCGGCTCGTCCCAGTAAAGCGCGCGCAGCGTGCGGTCGGGCACGGACACCTCGAGGCGACCGTTGTCGACGACCACGGGCGCGTAGTCCTTGCTCGCCTCGAGCGCCGCTACGCACGACGTGTGGTGAGCGCAAGTAGCTGGTGGGCGCCGCACCGCAGTCGGCTTCGGCCAAGATGGTCCATTCGCCCTTGCGCAGGTACGCCCATGGCACCTGCGTGCTCGTCGTCGTCGTCTCGGCTTTGCCCATCGTGCCAATGGGCGAGGCTTCCTCGGTGGCGTCCATCTGGCCCCGTGTCGCAACCGCGCCGAATCCAAAACTAAAAACACCCAACTGCCCTTCCAGACCAAGCAAGTACATCCAAGTATCTCGCGACGGACGACCCGGATCACGCTACGGCAGCTGATGTACATCCCTTCTCAGTCACTGCCAGCGCAACACGTCGGCTGAGCCATGCCCACAGCTCATGTGAGAATCCGCGTTTGTACTGGCTGATACGGAGCCGCGGCTTGAACGGCGTAGCCGGCTCCACTCGGCTCGGCTTGAAGCCGGTCCGGAGCCGGCTCGACAATGCAGCCTCAGCGGATCACTTTTCGGCTCGAGCCGCGCCTCAGCCGTTAAAGCTGTGCCGCAGTGACCCCTACCCACCAGGAAATCCTCGCTTAAGAATCTCTCATGTAAGGGTTTCACCTCGCACCTCGTTCAGCCTCAGTAGACCTGCCATGCAGAGAGCAAAAGCAACCGTGTGGTGATGAGTGATGAGCTCAATGAAATGCGCTGCGGCAGTGTACGAGCCAGGTAGATAGATAGATGTCCATGTCAAGCATGCACATACGCGTACTGGCATACAGCCACATGACTTGCCTCCTGTAGCTCCCCTAGCGGGCAGACCCAGGGGTAGACCTAGCAAGGGAGTGTCCTTCGCCTTGCTGTACGTGGCGCGCTTGCAGGCCTTCGTTTGGTTGGGTGTGTATATCCTATCGGGGCAGGCAGTCTTCCGGATACACGCAACCCGCTCATCGCCTTTCGGCCAATCCGAGGCCGCGCTGCCCCATTCGCCAAGGCCATTGGCCCATTATCCCTTTGTCATTTATTAAATGGAATACAAACATACCGTCAATTCAATTACAATCCGAGGCATGCGGCTCGTATCCGGCATCTGGCACAGCTGACTGGCCGCGTACGCCACCAGGAAGACGACGACGAGCATGGCCGGCCTCTCGGAACCGCTGCCGTTCATTACGCTCAATGACGACGAGACGTTCGAGATCTCGCCCGAGGCGGCGACGTACTTGAGCTCTCTCGAAGGAGAGATCTCGATCGTCGCGATTGCAGGCCTCTACCGGACGGGCAAGTCGTACCTTCTCAACCAGCTTCTCGGGCGCACGACCGAACACACGATGTTTGGCGTCGGCGGCACGGTCAACGCGATGACCAAGGGCATTTGGATCTGGGGCCAGCCCATGGACGCTGCCACATCGTCGTCGTCTTCGCGGCCCAAGACGATCATCTTCATGGACACGGAAGGCTTGGGCTCGAGCCAGCGCAGCCAGACACAGGACACGCGCATCTTTGCGCTGGCGCTCCTCCTCTCGTCCTTCTTCATCTACAACAGCCGCGGTGTCATTGACGCCAACGCGATCGAAGACCTCTCGCTTGTCGTCAACTTGACCAAGTACATCCAAGTGAGCGCGGGCGGCACCGACAACTCCATGTCGCTCGCCGACTTTTTCCCGTCCTTTCTCTGGGTCGTGCGCGACTTTACGCTGCAGCTCGAAGAGGAAGGCCGCGCGATCACGCCGCGCGACTACCTCGAGAAGGCGCTCAAACCGCAGCCCGGCAGTAGCGACGACGCGCAGCACAAGAATCAAGTCCGTGCGCTCCTCGCCGCGTTCTTCCCGGACCGCGACTGCCTCACGATGGTGCGTCCGCTCAACGACGAGTCGCTCCTGCGCGAGTTGCCCAAGCAGCCGCTCGACTCGCTCCGTCCCGAGTTCCAATCCCAGCTGACGACGCTCCACAAGAAGGTGTTTTCGACGCTCAAGCCCAAGAAGCTCATGGCCAAAGCGCTCTCCGGCGCGATGCTCGTGACGCTTGCGCGCAACTACGTCGATGCGTTCAACAGCGGCGCGACGCCCGTCATCTCGAGCGCGTGGGACCGCGTCGTCGCCGCGCAGAGCGAGCAGGCGCTCGACGCCGCCAAAGCCGCCTTCACATCAGCGTTTGCTCCGCCCACGGACGCGGTGCCCGAAGCGACGCTTGTATCAACGTTTCAAGTCGCGCAGGAAGCCGCGCAGACAGTGCTCAAGGCGCAGGACTTTGCGGGCGACGCGTTCGCGACCGTCTTGCACACGCTCGGCGACTGGCTCCAAGCGCAGCTGGTCGTCGCGCTGGAGGCCAATGTGAAGCGCGCGACAGCCCACCAGACGCGGCTGCTCGACGAGCTCTATGCGCCGATTTCGGCCAAGGCGCAAGCGACGATGGACCGCGAGAGCCCCGTGGCCATGCTGCACGAGACGCTCAAGAACTACAAGATTGCGATGGCCGGTCTCGTCGAGGCGTACGACCACGCGACGTCCGAGCTGCCGCTGCACGCGTACGTGCTCACGGGCTTCCTCGCCGACAAGGTATGACCTGTCGCAATCGAGCGCTTTGTATAACTTTATATTGTGGACTAGGCTATGGACAGTATTGTCGAGTGGGGCACGGCGGTGACGATGCTATTCCGCGCCAAGGACACGGCGGCCCAGGTACACAGAACCAAAATTCAAAATTGGACAACATTATTTGTGTGAAAATGATACTAATACGGGGCTGCTCGTAGAAAGCACTGGGCAGTATCAAGCAAAAGGTCTCGATGCTCGAAAGCAAGGCGCAGGCCGCGCAGGACATGCTCGCGCAGCAACGCGAGACGTTCGAACGCGCACTCTTTGGCATTTCCGAGCGCATGGCGGACGAAAAAATGGCGCTGACGGCTGAAATCGACCACAAGTCGGCCGAGATTGCGCGCACAGCGATGCAGATCGAGCGCATCGGCGCCCTTCACGCCGAGGCCCACGACCGGCTTCTCGACGAGCTCGCGCGCGCCAAGGCCGACTGCGCGGACGCGGACGACGCGCTCGAGGCGGCGCGGAAGGAGCAGTTGTCGCTGCTCGCCGACTCGACCAACCAGCGACTGGAGCAAGAGCGGATGAAGAACGCCAAGGAGGCGACGCTCCTCGCCGCGCACCAGGAGCTGCTACATAAAACGATTGCACTCGAGCGAGAGCTGGGCGACCAGCAGGCCGAGCAGATGCTGGCGACGTTCAAGGCCGAGCAGGCGGTCAACGAGAAGCTCTTGACGCTCCGGCACGAGTGCGAAGACCAGGCGCAGGAGCTCAAGACGCGCACGATCACCGAGATTCGGTCGGTCAAGGCCAAGCACGAAGGTATCGACACTTGGCATCGCTATTGAGAGGCAGGTTGAAACATATTTTGTGTACTGAATAGGCGAATTAAAGGCGCTGCAACTCGACTTGAACGAGCGCCAAGCCGTGTTGAGCGCGCTTCAGGAGCGGCTCGAGGCCAAGCGCCGCATGAATTTGCAAGCAGCGGCCAAGAACCCCGGCGGCCGGAAAGAGGACTGCGTCGTGCAGTAAACGCCAGGTCAAACATAAATACATGCTGTGGTCATGGCACGTCGTCGTCGGCGACGGTCGACTGTATCTGGAGAGCATCGAGGACCCCGAAATGATCTTCGAGCGAGCCTGGCTTGTGGCTAAAGTACCTAATGAATCGTTGACTGTGAGCCATGCACGAAGGACGACCGCACGCCTACTCAAGCACGCGAGGCGGACACCCGAGGCCCTCCATGGTCTTGCAAAACGCAACATTTTCGTGGGCGATCCACGGACGCTGACGGGAAGCGAGCTGGTACGGCGTCCAATGAACATGCAGGCCAAGCGTCCTACACGGTCGTTAGCGGAGCCGACTCCATGCGCAGGCGTACGGAAAGTCGCTCAGTACTGAGAGCGCGAGAGAGTGTGATGGGAGGGCCCCGGCGCTGCTGCCGTTGCCGCCATCTACCCAGTGGATCGAAACCACCTGCGCAAAGCGTGAACGACCAAGCAACACAAGGGACCACACCTGCTGGAACCAATGGCGCACGGCCGGCGCGTCATAGGCGCCCTGTGTGACGGGCGGCATCGCGGCCAGCTCGGTGATCATTTGGTTGAGCACAACGACGCCACGGCTAAAGCCAACGAGGTGCAGTGGCAGGTCGGGCCGCAAGTAGGCAGCGTCTACGCGCTCGTCGTTAGTAGAGATGGAAACGTCGTCGTGCCTACTGTCGATGCACTCGGATGCGTTCTGCATGAGGCGCTGGAGATGCCGCATCGCATGACCGTGGGGGACATCTGCAGTTCACCCGGATGAGCGCCTTCAGTGTAGCAACAGGAGCGTACATGCGATCGGATCAGCATGGTCCTCGGGCAGGAGAAAGTGCTCGTAGCAGCTCACGCCGCTCGGTAAGATCGTCGCCGGTTGCACGATCCAGATCGTCGCGTCCGGGAACTTGGCGGCGAGCGAGAGCGCGGTCGCTTCGTACGAGTAGGCCGTCCACGCTTTGAAGCGACTCTTGCGCAGGCGGTGCTCGAAATCCTGCACATCGCCCGGAAAGTACACGACGTTGGACGTAGCGTTCGGCGCCATGGACACGAGCAGCTGGTTGGGTCGGCCATCGTGGCCTTCGACGCGCATGGCGCGCATGCGGCGCCGGCGACTGCTGCGGCCAGTGACCGACGACGTCGAGGATGATGACGACGTCTGCTCTTCGTCATCATCGCCGTCGTCGCTGGCATGCGTGTACGTGCCACAGCGCGAGCGCGTGCGTCGCGTTGGGCTCGTCTCGATCGGGTCGACGCCATCGGCGTCCAGACTCGGCGACCGCTTCCCCATGGCCAGTAAGCGCTGCCACCTTGGCGAAATGCAAAATCCCGAAACACCTAAAAACGCGTCCACCAATCAGAAGCCTACGTTACACTAAGTGCGCAAAGAACATGCGCACTTATCAGAATTTTCGCGGAACCCGCGCGGGTGGCGTCCTCAGCCCGCTAAAGTGCGGTAGCCGGGCCGCGAAAGCAACTTCAACTTGACAGCGCGCGCTTCAAAGGGCAAAGTCGTCGAGAGCTCGCGATTGCCCGCCAATCTTTCATCGCTCTATAGGCAGACGACCTCACATAGCAAAGTGCGCAGGCGGGCGCGGTGCCGAGATGCGTAGCGTCCTCGAAACGCGCAGGATGGCTGGTGGTGCAGGAAGTTGAAGCGAGAGAGTCGACAGCAGAAGTCGGTGCACGTCCCTGGCTCTAAGAAGCAGAAGCAAGAAAGGCAGCAGTATAATCGGCAACCGTGCTGGGACGTGGGTGGCGAATGTCCAGTTGCTACGAGGTGAACCTTGAGGGTTGCGTGGTGATGCTTCGTGCCTGGGTTCCATCTGGGTGTCCCTTGCACGTCCCACCGACGCTGAGGAGAAGATACTGTACCACCTGCCCCTATTCATGTTCTCGGGTCAGAACGGGGAACAACCCCGCGACGATCGATGCCGCCAACACACCCGGAGGAGGCAAATATGTTTGCGTGTGGAAATACAAGTGCAAAGATCGTAACCGTTCGTTGCTTTTATTGAGCAGCGTCACCAGTCTTGGATCAGAGGAAATAAATTGTTTTAGTTTTAATATGATGGGAATAAATGATGAGAGGCAAAGCACCGCAATCGTTCAAAAGTCGTCGAGGCACGTAAAGTTGGCCACCTTGGGGCGGTCGTCGTACGTCATTTTGGTCTTCTTGCTGTTGCGCGGGCTCAGCGGGCTGTGGAGGAAATACTCGGTCGACTGAGAAAACTCGGACGGTGTCCACTTGGTCAAGACATCGAGCTCCTGGAAGGTCGGGAGCGCGGACAAGGCCACAAGCGTCGGCGCGACAGGCGCCGAGTACATGGGCTGGGTCGTCCAGTGGACCGCGCCGGCGCTG